AACAACCTTATATTCTTGTTGTGATCAATTAACAATCTTATTTTTTTCTCTCTACAATAAAAAAAAGTCTTGCGTTTCATCTTTGGAGAATTATTTACTACTCAATCTTCAAATTCAACTTTAAATTCTTTTATATCTAAATCCAAAAAGACTATTACATTCAAATCTTGAAATATCTTGAATAAGATTAAATTTCAATTAAGTTTTTCACTCATATATTTATAAGTTGAAAAATATCCGAAAAAATTCTTCCAAAATGTATTATAAATGATAAAAAACAGCAAATAACCATTTAAAAAAATTTGCATTCAATTTTTATTTTTATATACTATAAATTTTAAAAGATCATAAATTTTTTATAACTTGATCTCAATGAAATTTTGATGAGCATGTAGATTCATTTGCAATCTACAATCGTATCAAGTTTGAAAAACTTTCAACAAATAAAAAAAAATCAACTTTGTATATATTTGTGCAACTAATTTTTGAATTCCGTCAAAACCTTCATAAATTTTGACACAAATAATTTTGGCTACAAAGTAGATCTGAAACTGTAAAAACCTAAAAAAATATCTCAATTCATTCTATAATCAAAGATTTTTTTAAAAAATTGATCTCTAAATCATTTTTCTTTCAAAATGAATGTTGATGTATCATACAACATCACTAGATACACAAAGGATGTTTTTTTTTGGTGTTTTCTAAAGTCAATGTCATTTGTATTTTCATTGACATTTTTCTTTGGCATAATTGAATTCAAACATTTTGACTTCTAAATTAAAGTCCTCACAACAGAATCAAATATGTGAACTCCAATCTATGTGTCACTCAGCTATACCCTATAAGTCTTTTTGATAGCTTGCCATGATTTTAGAAGACAAGTATTCCTCTACATGCCCACATCTCAAAAATACTCTTATAGAATCTCTTCACTCATCACTTAAATTCAATCACTCATCAACACTTCAAGATGAAAATGTATCTCAACATTCTATAGGTGAAACAAGTTCTCACACAATGAAATTTTTAAACTTGTTAAAAAATTCTTTATCTACCTCTCTATTTATACCACTTGAAAATTTATTCTAGTCTTATGTGATATTTATTATCTAACTTACTTTTTTTAAGATAAACATTCGTAAATTGACTAATATATCATTGGTATATCACAGCTTTCTAGAAGATTTCTAAAAATCTAAACTTTTTCTTGTCTCTACTCTAAAGTGGCAAAATGTCATTTGAAACCTTGAAACTTCTAAAACTTGCACTTGCCACTCTGATAACTTTAGATTTAATCTTCCCAATTAGATATTTATTACTTAGTTAAGCCAATTAAAACTAACATGTAGTCAATATATTTTTTCTTTAAAATCTAAATTCTTGATAATAGATAAAATTATAATGTTCACTTATTTTTAAAACTACTCCATGTTTTTGTGTAGTATAGATTTGTTAATTAGACTTACTCATAACTAAGCTAAACTAAGCTTACCATGACCAATATTTTAGTAGTGCTTTAAACATACAACTATCAATCTAATATTTTAGTCTAAATCTCAACTTTGGCTTTTCAAACTCTAATAGTTGTAAACATTTCGGAGATGTGAGTGAGGAAAAAAATCCACACAAACTTTGAGCGTTCAATAATAAATTATACATAATAAAACTTCCTAGAGAGTGAGATTTTTTGGAGAAGATTTTCATATGTCACTATGTGCATAGTCAAGTATTTCCTTGGTATAATGAGTTTAAGCATCAAAAATTTCCCTATTATGCTTGTTCATTACATAATATTTGCAAAATCCTAAACCAACTTTAGTCATGACAAGTAACAAGGTTCTATTTTAGATAATGACAAAATCTGTTTCTCATGTGTTATAACCTAGAATGACATACATGAAACATTTCACTTCAAGATTTAATAAAATTGACTTCATCACAAATCTTAATGTCACATAACAAATAAAAATGGTTGTATTTATGATTTCTAGACATAATCTTATCACATATTCACTTTAAACACTTCTTTTCTAGAGCTACATTCAAGATATTTTGAGTATAATATTCTAAGAAAGATCAAAAATTTCTTATATTGGATATAAAATGGATGTACATTACAAATTATTGAACATTTAAATCTTAACAAATCCAATATCCTTAAAACTAAAGAGCTGATTCATTTTTCTGAAACCACACCAACAAATATACAAATGAATTTTTTACCAATACAAATGCAAAAACTTTCTAAAATTCATATATCACCAACATACCTTGATAAATTTCATAGACCTGACATTATAATCCATCGTCTAGCAATTCATACTTCTCGACATCAAAATTTGTAGTTTTCAAAGTTTCCACCTCACTCCACTTTTCACTTAAACTATGAAAAGCAATTTTCACATACTTTCTTCACTCGGTGGAAGATAAGTACTTCCACTAAGTGATCTGCAATCTTTCTTGATAGCGTCATGGCATTGTGTTTCAGATGCATCTTTGTAAAGACAATACTTAGATCAGGAATGAAATTGTCATGTTACTCAATGTTGGCAAAACTTGTTTTTGTTACAAAATCTTCAAAAAAAATATAGACATCAGATTTTCATGAATCTAAATCAGGTATAACATGATTTTACGTGGATTCTTTTTTAGCAACAGCTATTTTTACAACTCTAGTCAAGATTTGACTAAAACGTGTCATCGTTGGTATTTTGCTGCATTGTGTGATGATTGCGGATAAAGTGTGTATCATCAAACCACTAAATTTCTCTCATTCGATCATCATCATACATTCCAAGTCATGCAAATTGTAGATCAATATTAAGTCAAGTACTTTTTGACGATTTGCATTTGACAATTGCCAATAGCAACATTAGACGACAACACCAACGTCAACGATCATCTACATGATCAATCATTCTTCAAACGCGCATTACATCTAAACTTAAAGGATAAAATAACGCAATAACGATCTGATATCATTTGTTAAAAAAACACATAAATTCATAACTATCACATATAGAATAACAATGACAATAAGAAAAAATACGTGGTTCGTCATTTTTGGACTAAGTACACGAGAACATAGAGGTTTTTACTAAAAGAACTTACAAAGTGTTGAGACAAGTTGTGTCTCACATCTCTATATATAAATCATAAAACCCTTGATCTAATCCTAATTAGTATACATCTAATCTTTACTCTAACTCAAGTTAGGGTAGCTTAAGTTTAACCCAAGATTTGAGTTACTTCTAACTGCAAGAGTTATGAAGAGCTATAAAACTCAAAATCTACATTGGAAAATTTGAAAATTGATGCTTAGAGGAAAATTGCAATTACAAAAGATGAGCTTGACAGTCTTCGTGCCGACAAGGATATCAAGATATATGTACTTACATTGAAATGATATATCTACGTTTCTATCCCATGTCTATTCAGACTTGTTCACAAAAGATTAACGTAGAATGATCTCATCATTTGATAATTTTTATTCAAAGATGTTTTTATTACTTGACTGACAGATTTAAAAACAATGAAATTATGAGACTAACTATATTGCATGGACTTATGTAATCTTTATAACAGCAATACATCTTAACTCATGAAATCATGAGAAAATAAAATGCATAAATGAAAATAGAAATAATCGTAAATTATAATTATATATATATATATATATTGCAAGTGTATACATAATAGATTGAATGTTGTGAAAAACTGACGTTTTTTTTTTTAAATTGTTGCGAGTATAACTCAATCTCCTCTTCTTTATGCTTAATTTATGCACCTGTATTCTACAAAGCGACTACTCCCGCAACCTGCCATAGGGTTCCAATTTGAACTTGCAATACGCAGCGCATCCTTGGCGGCGCCACTCATTCTCCTAATCGGAAAATTATTCATTACAGTAGATTGCACAAAAGCATGTAAGGCTATCTAGACGTTTGTGCATGAGTTTAATGAATTGCTATTTGGGAAAATTTGTAAAAAAATATACTCCTTTTTTATTCAATCCAACCAAAATTCAATAAATGATTGAAAATTATTTGAAGAAATTTTGTACAAAAAATTCATTTTCAGTACTTTTTTTTGTTTGCATAGTGTTGATCAATTTGGAAGTATGTATAGTGTATAAAAACACTTATTTTACATAAATTTATGATCCTTGCGTCAAATCTTTCTTCTCTATTGAAAACAAACACATTTTTCAATCAAATCCTTCAGATCAATATAAAAATGCTGTTTGGCAAATGGCTAAATGAGGTTGAAAACTAGCTCGTGGAACCCCTATCATACAAATTTGTTGTGACATTTGAGATTAAATTTGAGTTTGTGTTTTGTTACATATACATGTTCTGTTACATAATAAAAGAGCATTTATTGATATAAATTGAAATTGTAGCATTGTCTTACAAATCAGAATGCAGTACAGATGCATTCTAAGCATTAGTGTGAAATTAAATTGGTGCATTTGAGGCAGTGGTTCCTAACCCGGGATCACAATAATTACAAGAACTCTTAGTAGGACATAGATGAAGGATCCCTCCTGCTGGTCATATGAAAAGTTTTGGGTCCCATCAAAACGACTGAGTTCTGCTAGGGTCCCATCAATCTGCTATTTAGACATTTCTTTGTTTCTTTCTCATCATTGTATTCATAGATAAGAAAACATATGCTCAACAACAATAACACATCACAGAAAATTAATTGAAATATACTACCAGTTTGGAACATTTGAAAGCAGTAATTTAGTTTGATGTATTTAACCAGATTTTCATGTAATTTCAGATTAGTGTGTTGGGCGAAACTCTCATCCTCTAACCTAAATTGAACTTTTGATTTAGTCTCTTCGACTAGCTAATATTCCTTGTTAAAAAGACAAAATAAGTTGACCAGTCAGGAAGAAGTAGGTTGATTGTTCTTATTAGATCCAAAATCACAAGAGAGCATGATGAAAATGGTAATTTTTTATAAAAACTAACGTTTTTAGCAATGTGACGTGCAAAATGGGATGTACTTGCAATCATTCATAAACTCTGATATCCACCAACCCCAGTCTAAACGGCCCCACAAACGATTCAAACTTTTTTTGAGACGAGATCCGAAAGAGTAAAGAATCACCTTCACTTCATTAAGGTAACACTTCGCAAGCATGATGTCCTAAGATGAAGGGGGGCATCACTGCATTCCTCTAATAGTGATGACGTGGGCCTACAACCCCAACATACAGATGAACATCAGGGCCTTTGCATTGAATGAGGAGATGACTAACGACGTAAGAGAAAACCATGTACGTTTGAGCTTTCCGGGAAAATCACTTGTAGAGATGGTTTTCCCCGCATATATTGAACTTTTCCGCGATGAAAAAGGGGTGTTTCACTACTGCCGATTTATAAAGGCGACTTGCCTGGGACCTGCGTAGATCAGGAGCACAACACTCAGTACGCAGTTCTGCAAACAGAGTACAAAGCCATGTACTGAAAACAATCCCAATCCCAAGTCCAAAAAGAGAAGTCAACCATACACTAATTTGCACAGCTTAGATTCTTTTTTAAGAGTAGAGCAGATGTATGAAGAATATTTACCTGAACCGTACAATTTAGAAAGGAGGTCCGATGTTCAAAGTTTGAACAAGTTTCAAAAATCTCAGGATTTTACGACTTTCGAATGCACCTCGCAACCTGTAACTGAACAAAATCAACAGAGTTGAACCTTCCATCTAGCCACATTTTCAGGGTGATGACACCTTGCGACCACGCTTTGCACCCAACTTCTCTGCTGTTGTCTGTGCACCCCGTTTATTTGAGGCAGGTGAACTGCCCATGGCCACAGCCCGTGCTTTGAAGTTGGTAACTGATTGCACATACCGATGAAGCCTCCATAACGTTGCCGGCTCCTGTTGGAGTAATTGTAATTTGAAAGCAAATAATTCAACATCAATTGGCTGACGAATAGATATACTGAAATCCCAAAAACTAGGAACGCAGAAAATACATCTTACTGTATGTGTTGATGATCATAAACTTTGTGTGTACTTTCATAAACAAACCATTTCGAAATCAACTACTTTCACGGGTGAATCCAACGAGTTTTCTGGATCTTACAACTCCTAGAATCCATTTCAAACATATTATTATTTGTCACCTACATATAGTCGATAAAGCCTAGCACGGGCACGAGGGGAATAGGGTGGCACCTGTGCATCAATATCAACCTCAACCTCATCTGCGGATGCATTAAAACCCGGATTCTTCTGTGCGATAATTTGAATAACGCGTTGAAGATTGTCAGCTGGCAACCGTCCCAGACTATGACCAAGTTGTCGTTTTTCTTCGATTGACATGACCCTGAACCAAACACAATCACAATCAGGATAGTGCTCCAGCACCAAAAATGGTGTGGAGTCCACACCATTTTCTGTGGTTTACAATAAGCTCAATTCGAATGATGTCTACAAGAATAATCTCAGAGTAAATATGTTTTTTCATGTCTACTGCTAATGACCCAAGCATGATAGTAAAGGAAGAGGATATAAAAGCTACAAGAAAATATCTTCCAGAAAAAGACCAATTGCATAGCAAATGCTAAAGAAGATATGTTCTTATGACCAAGGAAGATTATAAGGAAAAAGAGAAGTTTTCTTAGAGTAGGAAAAGAATAGGACACCATGACAAGAATTTGGTGATAATATTCCAACAATTTATTCTCAATGTATATCACACCAACAGCCAAGGAGGAACAAAGGATATATAGGAATAAGGGTGTAACAAGCAACGCCTTTGCCTGTCGCCCTAAACCCTAAACCCTGATATAACCTGAAGATCAAATTCTGGAGTAACAATAGGCAAAATGAACGGAACGTACCGACATTTGGGCGTTGCCTTCTGTTTCAGTTCCTCAAGCTGCCTGTCCAACTCTTCGAGCTGTGAAAATATAGCACGTTTGACAAAGTCTGAGCAACTCAAGATCCTCGGAGCAGTAACCTTGAACCTTAGCCTCTCTGAACCTTCATCTACCAATCGAATAAATTATTTCTTTGGAGTGCTCATTGGAGACTGAATACTGACAACATGTATGGCTTATAAAATATCGTACTCGTGCTAAAGACCTCTAAGGATTCCACCATTCTCTATACCCTTATAAAGGGTTGGAAACAAACAGACTCACACAAGCTCCTAAAGTACTCCGCCTTAGTAAACTTTGACAAGATTACTCAAACGAACTAAAACTTGACCTCTAGTGTGGTAGGCGAGAGAGTGGTTTCTATGTGTCTTCACATCCTCTTTTTAAGCCAAACTATACTACATCTTAACTCTTGCTGTTCCTAACCTGTGGCTTGCTTTTTCAGAAGCTTAACCAACCTGTCGGCCGACATCCGCAGCAAGTTTCTCTGCAGCAGCCTCTTCGGCTGCGTGTAATGCAGCAGCCTCCTTTGCATTGGCTTCTCTCTCTTCCTGTTTCCTCTTTGTCTCCTGTTCAAGAATATCAGAGAAAAGTATTTTAACAATTACAGCAGAGTGAACCTTTTAATCACACAGTGCCCCACTTTCGATGAAACCGGAAATGAAGATCCCTGACCTCTTCCTGGAGTTTAGGCTCCAAAACGGTCTTCCACTTCTCTTCGAACTTCTCGGATAATGTTTTTGCCATGACATGGACATCTGTCCCATCTTGATTGTAAGCCATAGCATTGCTGAATACAAGTCTGACGTCATCGCAAATTTCCTGGATGTGCTTGTAACCTGTGCCGTCCTTGGCGTCCATACGGTCTCGTATGGTTCCTAGGTCCATTGGCTTTTTAATGATCTGTGAATAATTCAGACGAATGGTCATATCAAACATGAACACGTGAGCACTACTATTCTTTGAGACAGAAACATCCGTTCATAGAGACGCTCGAGGCAGACGATCAACGATGAAAGAGTCAAGAAGGAGATTTCTCTGTGGTTGAGTGCAATTTTTATTCCTTTCATTCCATCGTAATCAACAGAGATTTTTCAAACGGAACTTACATCAAAATAATCGTGCAACCCCAGACCCTGGACATCCACAGGCTCCATGAAAGGCCATGCCCACTTGTGTTGAGTAATCTGAGGGGCAAAAAAAGTCAGTAATCAAGATACAGATGGAGACCACTAGCGTACAAGCAAGATTGAGAAATCTTCATGTCAGCCCAGCCTACAATTTTGGCACTTCTCTCCTTTCACGTGCCCGATAACAAGTGAGATGTTGTACCTGCCTAAGGACAGTTCCAAGCTGACGCATAAGCTCTGTCATTCGTTTGGTTCGAGCAGCATCTCGACGAGACGCTTCCAGCTGCTGGTGTTTCTTATTGACACCCGCTTTGTCTTTTTCTCGGTCCTTCAAAGTTACACTAGCCTTGTTACTCAAAGCTTTGGTTTTTCGCAACGAGGTCCGCATTCGGGCTACTTCACTCACCTGCCTCTCCATCTGTTCACATTGATGACTGTCAAAAGTAATTACAGTACAAGACTCACGACAGCACAATGTCACTCTCGCATCCTGACCAGATAAAACAAGTTCACTAAACACGGACACTTTACATTGACAAGCTGCTATCCTACATCGTAGTAACAAAGAGATGATTTTGAACCAAAGCAGAAGCGCCTACGGCTGATACTCAATGTTGAATAAACACATAAGGGTTTGTCATACTTCGTACAACTAGCAGTCGTGGGATCCACAAATACTACGGTTAGTTTCAAACCGAATGCCCATACAGTACAGGAAAAGGAAATTTCCTCGGGCGCATCTGAAATTCAGTTGTGTACAATTATATGTATGGGCATGGACGGACGAAACCACATGTTCAAACTCTTTTTCTCCCTTTCTACCTTGCTCTTTGTTCAGACCATTTACAGGTCATGTTCAAAACTTCATCACAATAACCACTACTCGGTTATGATAACCGGATCTCTGAGGCACAAAATGCATATTTCCATGCACATGCCTCTCCGGGGGAGCAGATCCTTTGTTGGTCAGGAGAAATTAGTCTGTCCTACAATTAGCTGACCCCGAGACTCGAAAGGGCAACGAAGAGCTATGCTGTAAAGTTCTCCTGCCGGGGCATCCTCAGCAGTAAAAACTATTTTGAAGTGTTAGCTAACAGGCGTTACACTCGAGGTTTACCCTCTGCCCAAACCAACATCAGTTTCCACAACAGGCTGCTTTCAGAACATATTTAACGCTCCTTCAATCACCCTATTAAATAAACATGAAACATACCGTGGGGTTCAGCAGTACGTAGCTTCTAAGTCTTCAGTTGATCAAGGTCGAGAGAGATCGCGAGGCGAGCGCGACAGGCGAAAGATATTATGGATGAACCAGTTTGCCCTCATACAATCACATTTCCCGTGGCTGACAGCTAGGGCAAAAGTCGGTCACAAAAACCGATTAAATCGGGGACTTAGATCAACCATGGACTTGGATCAACCAGGTCATCGTATCAGACCACGACGTTCCAACGGAACCTTTCCCACAATTTGATTAAACACTCGCTTACACGTCTGATTACGGTGCTCATATAATTGCTACCGGTAGATTTTACACAGTTACTGCTGTCAGTTATTCTCTCGACACATCAGACCCATCCCTGTACAAAAAGCGATGGCCCAACACCATAAACTGGCACCTAAATTCAGCTTCTACTCTCTTGTTAATGATATCCCGATGATAAATCTCAGATGATGTACATAAAAGCTCATAATTAGACTCTCCAAAATTTTCCGCCCTCTGGCTGTTGAAAAAGCTCTTTCCTTGGAGGCCGATGGCATTATTACGATGGTTTCGGGCCCCCAACAATTTGCAGATTGTGGGCAACTGTAGACAATACGCCATGAAATTTTTTTTACTGAGCACTTTCGATAGAGCAAGGCATGATACAGTCTACATTACCACGTTCGATAAGATGGAGAGTTGAAATGTGGGACTACAACAAATTGTGCGGACTTTGAACTGCGCAAGGAAAAGGTTTCCTCCGAGTGAGCATGAAAGACCGCACTGATCTAGAAAAAAAAGGCTTCATTCCATATCAGTTTGGTATGTTATAGACGATGAAGCCAGATGCACTGGAAAATACCTCTTCCACCTTCGTTGTGATTTCCAGAACTTGCTGCTTGAGAGTGTGCTTGAGTTCATCGTCAAGGTTTTCATCTTCAGTAGGCCCACCAGGCTGTTGGGCCTCAGACCCTACTTCCTTCGCTGCTGCAGCAGGACCACTTCCTGTATTAGAGACCGGAGGCTTTCCTGCTGCTGCTCCCCTCTGCACCATAGTCGTCGCTGCTGCTGCTCTTCCTCTAACCTGTGCTACCTGTCCTAACACTTCTACCGATTCCGCTCCCACACTTACAACGACATTACCTGATGCAGCTTGCATTTCTTATTTCCTCCCTCCCTTCCCACCGTGCCGAAGGAAAACCTCCTGAATACAACCGACAGCTCAAAGAAAAGAAAGATTTGCACGCCAGGTCAGGGAGTGAAAGTTTCCGGACCAGCGAGCCCGGTAGAGATAATGACGAGAGTCTGCCCCACAAGGCAACCGTAAACCCGATTAGTAGGCAGAAACAAAGCCGCACCGACACCTTCTTCTTCTTCTTCTTCTATTTCTCCTTTAATCCCAGAAATTTAAGAGTTCATATGATCGTGAATTTCAAAAATTGTATAGGCTAAGGATGAAACAACATTTTTCTATATCATCCGGAGCATTAAAATTATAGAGCAGACCTGGCATTTATAGAGTTTGATAGATGTGGAAAAAAAGACACGGATACCTGAGGTCGTGCGTGGCTTCGCGCAAAATTACTCCGTTGCTCTCAAAAACACAAACATGGGGTTTAGGAAAGGTATGAGGCTACCTCACAAATATGTTCGTGAGTCCATTCTTCAGCGTCAATCGACTACTGGAGCTCCATAAATCTCCTCGATACATCCCACATCCCGATGTCAACTCTTGTGTCCTCCACCGCTGAGTTCCTTGGCTGTGAAGTCCGCCACCCCATCCTGTAAAATTCCTGTCACCTGAGCCCGCTCCGTGACGTTCTCAAGATTGTTCTTTCCGGCTCAAGTTGCTCGTCATATGACGGCAACCCAGGTTGTTTGACTGTACATCGGTTTCTGTCGACCTGGGTATGCGCCGACCTTCACCATCTCCCGTCTGCGTGCTGGAGGCAGACTTCACCAGACCTACCAAACTTGCAGTTTCGTTCCGTGCAGATGGACCTTCTTCGAGTTTACACTCCACTCAAATAAACCTCCAACACCGAATTTCTACACAACCCTCAATTGTAGCGACTGACACAAATATACAATAACTATACGGAGCTTCCTTCTCCGGAGGTCCACGACGCGAGGTGTTTGACAAGACTTAAGGTAGACAAAGTAATTAGACGGCGTTTAGCTGCAGTTGGACTGCCAACTGATGTTCAAAGGGATGGAATCGGTGGAGACTGGCAAGGGTGGATTCAGCCGCCGTGTCTGCTGCTTCACTGTTTACATTGCCACCGTACGAGAACTATAGGACAGGATGGCCCTCAAGAGGTTCCAGACCTGACCGGAGACTGGACCGACTGCCGATGGGTTTGTGCTGCGAGACGTTTGTCTTCGTTTATTTTCTCATTGCTTCCATTTCGTTCAGGTATCTGTCCTGCATTTATTAAGACGTTTATATTAATGGAATATAAAAATGAAAGTCCTGATGGAGAGCGGATCTATTCATGTATCATATGACAGGTTCTTGTAGACGAAGTGGATTGATTCGCTCTGATAGCTATTATCATCAAGGTTGGTTGTAGACACTGGAATTAAGTTTCGACTTGTGTTTAAACAAAATGACAAGCAAATTTCACGGCAACATTAATGAGCAACTGCGCTCTATGAACTACCCTAGACCGTAAACGTTTTCTGGATTTTGCGATTTGGTTATGTCTACTGTGATCACTCATTGATTATGCGATTAGAAATGTATTTTATCTCTGTCCCTTTTCCATGAATCAGAGTGGCGCAGCGGAAGCGTGGTATCCCCATAAAGTACAGGGTCCGAGGAGCGAAACCTTGCTCTGTTAGATACGAGGAAAATAATTTCTGGTAAACTCAGATGATTCCCAGGTTCATTTGTCTCCTTAAAATTTGGAAAACTTTTCTGAGTCTCCACATTTCAAGGTGGAACCAAGTAGTTTATTAAACTAGAATAATGTGATTATCCGAATCTCACGAGTAACTTATTTTCCTTCATAGAATCTATAACTTCTCTTTTTCCTTTCATCAAACTCCAACATCTTTAGTATTCATGTGAATATGAAAATAAGGTGGAAACACGTAATTAGTAAAAAATTATGAGGTAACGGTGTGAATGTGATATTTTTTGGATGAAACATGTGTTCATGATAATTCTTTGCCATTTAGAGAATATATATGGCGCGCGAGGGTTGGTAAGATCGTAGAGACAAGGGTCACAGATAGACAGCCCAAAAAAGTGTAACATCAGTGTGAAAGATGAGTGATTTAGACAAGATCAGGGATACTATAGTGCTACTTTGGGCCAAGCATTTGTTTATATGTTGTACATTCAAAACATACATAAAATTGATATCGTTACGCATGTGTTTAATAGTTTGTATCATCAGGATAAATACATATTGGTTTTGAACAATAGATTATTGTTGTAAAGATCATGATTGCTGATCTTACACCTGTTATGCACCCATGATGTTGAACTAAAGTGACATCATTCAAGATATGATTATAATGGCTTGATCTTTATAATCCAATACAAGATTTAAAAAATTCTCTGCAAACAAAAATTAATTTTTTTCATTTGAATTGGATTGAAAACTCAAAGATTACGTTTTTTCCAATTAAATCACATTTATGACAAAGTTGATTTGAAAACAAGCATGTATAATATTTTATGTATAAGATTTTTTTTTGGAAAAGTAGAAAGATTGATTTTTGCATCACACATAACATGAAACACTATTTGATTTTGTGTGAAGTGATTTGATTTGCTTTAAAATTATTTGATAAACTAGAAGACATTGAAAATTTTAATTTGTGATGACAAATTTTTATTTTCTCTACATTTGCAATGTAGACAAGATATCTATCAATTACAATTTAAAATTTAATGATTTTTGGGTATTATGATAAAATTTTACAAAATGCAATATCAAAGATTCAAAGTAAAATGTTATCAATTCATAGTTCATCATCAAGGTTTAGTGATCAACCTCGAGGTTTGATCGTTAAATCTCAAATTATTATTTATTTTGAGATTATCAACTTTAGCTTCAAGAATAATGAAGTTTGACAACTTCATTATGACCAATCATAACTCATCAAAAATAAAAGCAAGCATAAATTTAAAAAAAAATCATCAACATTATTTGAACACAAAATTATGCTTCAAAGTTTGTGCACATCAATCTTATACAAAAATTAATCTTTGTACAAGCATTCATTTTTCAAACAAATATTTCAATGAATAAAAAAACTTTCAAACTTATGCATGTGAGGTAAGATTTTTTTTATGTTTATGATGATAAACCACATTATGTATGATTGATGTGTGATGCTATCTATCATCATGATGTTAATTTGACTCGACGTTTGCAATTGCCATCAATGTTGTGTTCTTCATTCCAAATTTATTTCATGTATTTGTAGTTATTTTCATCTTAATTTTTGCACCATAGAATTTTAGCTAGTACATCTTACCAAAAATATCACTAATAGTTTTCAAAATATAATTTTAATATTTTTTTAAAAAAATCACTATAATAAATTTTTTTAGTGAAGTGAATATTAATTTATAACAAAAATTAACATTCACAATGATATAGAGTTATAATATAGTTGATTAAGTCTACAAATCATTTTTTATAATACAAATATGTTCACAAAACTTATGTGAAGATTTTAATTTGTGTCATAAAAAACTTATGACTCTCTCTCTTATACATAAATATTTATTTTATTCATATTAATTAGAATATTCATATGATTATTATTTTGATTTTATTGCAGTAATGTTCATGATATCTTATCTCATGTATGAATGAAGCACTCACATGATACACTACATAAAAAGCAATGATCACTATATGACAACAAATGTTATTAAAACAATGTGCTTTAATCTTGTGAAATAGTAAGCAAGAAGATTTTTTGTAAAATTTTCAAAGTGTTGATTCTCTTCAAACATAGAGAATGAAATTGTGAAACTTAAAGAAGAAAGTATATATCCACAAATACATTGAAAAATTGTCTATATTCAAGTACTCATTGTAGATATGAGTGGAATAGAAGACTTAAATGTATTCAAACAATATTTGAAAATTTGAAAATTTGAATATGCAAGGAGGTAATGATAAACAATTCATCCATAATGAATGAAGGAATCTCAAATGTTCAATGAATTTTAGTTGTTTATGATTTCATGGTTAATGTTCAATTAAGACAAACTTACAACAATGGAGTTGAAAATTCTTTGATGTAGGGAAGTTTATGCATAATTAAAAAAAACATCAAGATTTGGAATAAATATTTGATTATCAATATTTTCAAATTGCAAGAAGTAAAATGCAAATAATTGAATGACTCAAAAAGTAGCAAAAGTTTGCAATAATTATCAATGTTATGCATGCAAAAGTATGTGTTAACGTAAAATCAAGAATCATTCACAAGACATTCATATAACGTGATTCACCCTCGAGGACTACGTCCACGGTTGAAACACTGAGCAGGTTTACTGACAAGTGAATACACAATATTTCAGCTACTGAAAGAAGCCTTGGCTTTGGGGAATATTTATACCCAAAGTCAGCGACACACATAACTATAAATAGCTAGAGCCTTAGGTTACTCCATAACCGGAGTTAACCTCAACAATCTCCCCCTTAATTCGTGTTAAGGAAACATTAACCTCTGAAATCTATATTATTACTCAGCGGGAAGTTCTAGACAGATGCCTATTACAAGGCCCCTCTTTATACGAGAGTTAACTAGAACTAGACCGTAGCTATAACAGGATAGAGTAATAACATAAAGAGATAAATAGAGTTACTATGCTAGCAAAGTTTACATGTGCTCCCCATGCACAACTTGCATGGTAGCAAAGTGTCGATTGAAACTCTCCAATCGAATAACTTTGGTCAAAGCATCAGCTGGATTGAGTTTACCGTCGATCTTGACTAGCTCAATCGTTTTATCAAACACTGCTTGTTTGATAAAATGATACCTGATGTCAATGTGCTTCACTCTGCTATCCATCACCTGGTTCGCGGCCAAATGTAAAGCGCTCTAGCTATCACAATGAAGATTAACCACGTCCTGCTTCAATCCCATTTCCATGATAAGTCTATCCAACCAAATAGCTTCCTTTGCCGCTTCTGCTGCTGCCACATATTCAGCTTCTGTTGTTGACTGAGCTACGCATTTCTGCAATGTAGACCTCCAACTAATGCTTCCACCGCCAAGTGTAAATACATACCCAGTTGTCCGTAGTCAGCATCAACGTAACCAAACAAGGATTTGGCATTGTCTATTAGACCATCAAACAATAAGCCATAATCCAAAGTACTCTTCAAACATCTCAAAATCCATTTCACTGCTTTCCAATGAACTTTCTCTGGATTTGACATGTACTTGCTCACCTTGCCCATCGCAAAAGCAATGTCCGACCTAGTGCACACCATCAAATACATGAGGCTGCTTACAGCTTGTTCATAGGGAACACATGACATATTTCCTTTCTTCACCGCATCCGTTGGACATTGAGCTGCAGAGAGTTTGAAATGTGATGCCAAAGGAGTCCATACTCCTTTGAAATTCATCATGTTGAACCTGTCAAGTATACGACGAACATACTTGCCTTGACTCAACCATAGTTTCTTTTGCTCATGATCTCTATGTATCTCCATGCCTAATATTCTCTTTGACTCCCCCATATCCTTCATCTTAAATGCAGACTTCAACTTACTCTTGCATTCATCAACATTGGATTGGTTTTTTGCCAATATGAGCATATCATCAACATAGATAACTAAAATGATGAGATTGAACGTCTCATCATTTACTTTCTTCATGTAAACACAAGGATCATACACACTCCGCAATAAATCCTTGTGCTTTCATGAACTGATCAAATCGCGTGTTCCACTGCCTATGTGCTTGCTTAATCCATACAATGATTTCAATAATCTACAAACCAACCTCTCTTTGCCTTTGACCTCAAAACCAACAGGTTGTCTCATGTAGATCTCCTCCTCTAAATATCCATAGAGAAAAGCTGTAACCACATCCATCTGATCCATAACAAGATCAAATATCACAGCCAGTGCACATACTAGACGAATTGTAGCATACTTAGCTACCGGTGAGAAAACTTCACGCCCTTCTCTTGGATGAAACCTCTAGCCACCAACCTAGCTTTGAAGATTTTTGCCTCGTCTCCTCTTGGATTATCTTTCAGCTTGTACACCCACTTGGAGTCAATCACCATTTGATTGGTAGGAGACTCAACCAGCTCCCATGTCTTATTGTCAATCAAGGATTCCATCTCCCGCTTCAT